AAACCCAAACCCACCGTAACCCCACCCCACCCACCCCCACGAAACCCAACATCCTCGAAACCCCCCAACTCACTCTAATTGCTCACCCACCATAAAACTCCCTCCCTCCCTCGAAAAATCCTCCCTCCCCACCCACCCGAACCCAGTCTAACCGCCGCCACACCCACCCTAACTCGGCCCCCTCCGTTGCCCACAACTTGAAAAAAAATTAAAAAGAAAAACAGAAAATAAAAAAAGGAAGGACGAAAACACCTTATATATTAATCCTGAATTTGGCCTCAAATTTGGTTTTAAAAGGCCAAATTTGATCATGAAACAACTAGATCTAGAGTTTCGTGGTCGAATTTGACCATAAAAACCGTCGTGCGTGGTGTCGGTGGACGGAGACAGAGAAACGAGATGGAAGAAAGGAGAACATAGACGGAAGAAGGGAGAAGAAGGAAGAAGAAGAAAGGAAGAAGGAAGAGGAGATGAGAGAGAAAACGAGAGAGCAGTGAGCATATTATTGATAATATTACAGAAGAGGATTAAGAAAACGAGAGAGAAATCAAAAAGAGTACTAAAGAGACGATGGTAAGAGTGATCTGATTGGTGGAAAAGAAAACACACGGATCGTGAATTGGAATGTGTGCGATGATAGGCCGTTAGATGACATGCAAATCAATGGCTGATATTTAATATAAGACGGTGACACGGATCATGGGATAATGGATTTGGATAGTATGGTTTTTTTTATTCATAGCTACGTACTAATAAAAACACTACTGTACTCTTAACTTTATGTAACTTATAAATTGTAAGAAACACAAATGTTTGGAAATTGGAATTAATTCAATATGACATATTTAATGTATATTAGTTATATGTATATCAGTATATGTAATAAATAATAATGTATGGTACGATTGGTATCATACTATCATTGGTATGTATAGATAATCGATAAATGTATCTGATTATTAAAACTTAAAACAGTTAATGATCGATCTAATTGAATACTTCTACTTCCCCACCCGTTTTCTTTAACTTGCAAGTTGCAACATATATATGTTGCAGCCTTGTAGGCACGTAATCTTAAAAGGTGATTAGAGAGGGTAAGACAACAGAGTAATTCAGCAATATAACTTAAACACCAAAATTATGGAATAGTTACAAACAATTGTCAATTATTACTTTATTAGACTAATGGGAAATTGAATAATCGTGATTTTAATTAAACATCCAAATATAGTTCCGTAATATTAAATTATTAGTTTATTACAATATCAATTATCGATTTATCGTATTCAAAGTACCAATTCATCAAATCATGGTTATGACGCGATCTTTAAAACAATTAAAACAAGAAGCTGATAGCCTGATAATATTTGATAATGAAACAATAATACATTAATACCTTATAAATTTGTAATAGACTAATATTTAATAAACAACAACAAGACTATAACCACATTTGAAACATAACACATTAACATGATATAGAATGAATGAGAATTTCTGTAATTCTATATAATCTGATATCTTAATCGATTTATCGTATTCAAAGTAGCAACTCATCAAAACATGGTCATGACACGATATCTAAAACAATCCAACAAGAAGCTGATAACCTAATAATATATATTTAATAATGAAACAATAATACATTAATACATTATAAATTTGTAATAGACTAATATGATAATATCGAATAAACAACAACAAGAGTATAACCAAACTTGAAACATAACATATTAACATGATATAGAATAATTGAATAAATGAAGATTTGTGTAATTGTATATAATCCGATGTCTGAAAATAAAGTGACGAAGTCCCAACTTTATATAAAACGAAAATAGCTAACCGGTCAAAAATCTCTTAAAACCCAATTTCTACTCGATCCATTATTTTTTTCACCAACCTATGCCGACCCGCTAATGAAATGGAAATACTAGTCCCAACTTGATATAAAACAAAACGCGCTAACTGGTCAAAACCACTTTTTAGAACTCGATTTCAACCCGATCCAATTTAACTGATTACCAAACTAACCCGAACGATTTTAGCACCAAACCGAGTATAATCCGAACCGATATGAATCGAACTAGCATTAACCCGGGTAAACCCGCCCCTGAACCGACTCATTTCAAAATAATCCGTTCATGACCCGAACCGATATGAACCCGGACCGACGTTGACCCGGTAAAACCGCCCCTGAACCGATCCGTTTCAAACCGGTCAGATCATGACCCGAACCGTTTATAAACCGAACGGGCATTGACCCGGGTAAACCCGCCCCTGAACCGACCTGTTTCAAACCGACCCGATTATTAACCGAACCGTTTAAAAACTGAATCGGCATTGACCCGAGTAAATCCGCCCCTGAAGCGACCCGTTTCTAACCGATCTGATTATGACCCGAACTGTTTATAAACCGAACTTTTTATGACCCGAACCGAATTTAAATCGTACAAGAATAAACCGAAATCGAACCGACCTGTGACTAATCAAAACCAAACTGAACCGACCCGCCGTCTAAATGAAACCGTTTTAACCCGAACCGTTTCAAACCGAAACCGTTTCAAACTGAGGTCAAACCGAACTGTCAGACCGAAGTCCCACCCCTAATATCAGCCAAGTCAGTCGCACGGAAATTTGCGTGTGGACATCCGCACGCAATAATTTCTCTAACGTTTTTTCTTGTATATATATATATGTATATTTCATAACTCTCAAAATATGACCAATTTTTTGTTAACCACATAAATAGTACTGTATAAGTGGTCAGAATACAATGAACACAAATATTACTCGTACTAGATTAGCAAATTGCCATTTGTTAGGCTTTAACTTTATACTTCGTATATACTTATCAATGTATAAGGTATAACATTGGAAAATCCATATTTAAAGTGAATCGAACATAAGTACATAACTAATTAGTTGGATCATATTTATAAAACCACAAATCCACAATACCGCCCCAGTCCCCTCCTTTTTTTATCACTACTTTCCTTTTTTTTTTTAGTACGTCCACCTGATTCACCGGAGCTTAGCTCCGACTACATCCGAATTCAGCCCATGCCGCGTACTTGGCTTATGATGGATGAGTCTCCCAAGCATTCAATACCTTCCTTAAGGGACATCAAACTGCTTACCACTTAAGCCAACTCTTATTAGTCGATCACTACTTTTCATTTTGTATACTATTTAAAATAAAAATCAATTCTCATTTACTATATTCCCTACTACCTTCTCTTACCCCCCACACTATTTAAACATTATTACTTGCTCTCACAATCTCACTTCCTTTATTCATCTTTTTCAAACAATCAATAGCCTTATCTCGCAAATTAGACCAAGTATTTTTTGGTACTCCGTAGCTCATAAGCTCATTAATATATATCAATAAATTTACATGATGTATTTCTGCTTATATTGCGCCAAAATGGGTTTTTTTTTTTTTTTTTTTTTTTTTTTTTTTTTTTTTTTTTTAAAAAAAAGAAAAATTATACTTATTTATACCCTTACATTGTGCTAAATAGCTACAAAACTTTTATATGTCGAGTTATTGTGGGTAATGTTTTGTCTTAAATATTGAGTCTAACTCATAGTTGACTATTTTATTGAATGACAAAACACAAAACTCATGTTGATCCACTTATATATTTTATAAAGGTTCGACACTAGACAAATAGTTTCCACACCTGATTAGTGTCGTTTGTTTATATCGAGTCAAGTTTTTGACAACTTAACTAAAAGTGATGTCAATAATTTTATTTATAATTTCTCCTCTACCCTCAATTGAACAAAGGCGACTTATGTTCTGTAAACAAAATTAACAAATGTTCTTTCCTTATTTTTGTAATGTATTTATTTCTAATAAGTGGTATCAAAATTGATTGTTCACTTAGGCTTTTCTTAGTTAAAAAATGTCGTGAAACATTAGAAGACCTTGCTTACGACGGGAAATATCTTCCCTAATCAGTAATCACCTAATGTGGCCAAGAACGGTGTAGTGTGCGATACTGAACATACACAAATAATACGAGTACATGCCAATAACTCAATAAGGATTCAGAGGATCTGCTTTATTGAACATTGATCAGGCACAAAGAAGAAAAGGCAAAAATAGTGTTGCAACAGTTGAGTTCTACAGACTACAGTAATATTTGTTTGATAAATATCACGCGAGTAATGTCCAAAAATAAACATAAATCATACGAGAAATGTACAAAAATAAACATATCATATTCATATATAGCTAGGGTTTAGGGGTCTGTGAAAATGCATGTTACACCCCAGTCACTAGTATAACTTGCTCGTCAACCTACAAATCATTATATTTTCCATCTTAGCTTTCTTTCGTTCACATTTCATGATGTGACTAGACATACATCTTTGTCGCTTTTATTTGTCTACTTTTACATTTCCCATTTTGATTGGGACATAGAGTACAACTATGTCTCCATTATTTGGAATAACTTCAACACAACATATTATTCGTATCGAGTAACACGTGATTCACTTGATAAGTTTTTTATTTAAAGTTTCGAAAGTTTGTTATGAAGGTTGCGGTTGATTTTGTTGCATATTGCTAGTAAAAATATCATTGGAGTGGCTTTTATAGCTTTCAAATGAACCATATACGAAATACTAATTAAACAAGTTGAGTCATGTTTGAGGGAAATCAACTCATTAACTTACGAAATCAAAACAAACTCAACACCATCTAATTGCCAAGTATACATCGTTCTATACCATACATTAGCGTAGTATACAGAAATCAACCGAGATATAAATTGTACGGAATATTGTATGTTTTGTGTTCATCAGACATTCATATGATCGACGAAAATTAAACTGGTAGTACTGACTCTAACCAGATAAGCTAAACCAAGGACATGGAAAACACTCGATTATAAGGAGAAAATCATAGAATTTATTATTATTATTCTATTTTTGCAAAGCCAAAGGCAAATTAAACACTGACACGAGTACTCCGTAAAAGATTTGGTCTAAACACGGACCAATTTTGTACTTTCTTCACCATTCATATTATGGTATGTCAAAATCTTCCTTTGGTTTCGGTTGTGCACTACTAAGCTCTCCATATAAATGCCAAAATAGCTATAATAATAATCTTCCAAATGTTGTATCCGGTGACTTCTGAAGTTATAAGAAAATATATTACTTCTAAAAGATAGGATAAATGTATTCTTCTCAACATTGAAAATAACCGTACGAAAACCTCTGGTAAGAAACCGGTGAGCTTTTGAATTTGAATCTCCAGTATACCAAAGCCGCCATGATTTAATTTTATCTACACCATCCTCGACCAAAACCCATATGCAGGCACTATGAGAAGACATAGCGAAAATTGCTACAGACTCACTAAGGACAAAATTAATTTTAACTAGACCTGGTTGTTTAAGAGCATCAGGCAAATCCACGAAGACGAATTCCTCGGAATCAAAATCGAACGATACAAGATGATTATGTACGCCAGGAGGTTTATCCTTTTCAAAGCCTAACCAGCACAAAGCACCCTTACAATAAAATTCATCCGCATCTTCAAAACTTAAAAGGCCTCGAACGTGAGCATCCGACCTATCTTTAATCCTCCAAAGGTTAGCATTTGATGAATAAACCACTATCGAAGAATTATCATAAACAAAAGTAACAACCTTATAATCATTAGTAGACGGAGCGAAACCTAGCCAACATGTCCAAGTCATATAAGGACAACGGGGGATCGACCAGGACTTTCGAGTACAGGGATTATGAAATACCATCTCATCCTCGTCGACCTCGTCCGGCGTAATTGCATAAAACGCACACATCAAAATTAATCCATATTCGCAGCATATTACTTCACAATTAAAAGGAGTTTTAAATATTTCGTCAATTTTTCTGAATGTGTCGATACTATAAACTGCAGTTTTGTCGGAGTTCATGGCTATCGCGTACTTGGGTTTGTTGTTGTAAATTTGAAGATGCAAAAGACTGAAATAAGAGGAATCAATTAATGAACACCAGCTTTTACAAACACACCTTAATCTCATTAAGCTTTTCACCGGCAGCCTCGCTAAGATCTCTGTCCACATATCCATCGTTAAACCCGGCAATGCTTCCGCCATTGAGTCAGTATTTGAAGTTATTACGGGAGATTGGAACTAATACCGTTAAACTCACAAGAAATTTAGGAGAAAACGGCTCAATGAGCCTTTACCATTAAAGGCATATATATAGGCTTACAACATTAACCTAACAAGCCAAAAACTCCTAACAAGATATATACAAATATATACACAAAATATATCTCAAAACATAATTATATCCTAACACAAATCATATCTTTCACAAAAGTATATCTTATTCATATGTATTTTGGTAGTGTGTTTATCACTTTCTAATAATATTTACTTGTATATATTTTTAAATTTATAATTTCTGATCTTATTGTAACTAAATGATGTATCTTTATATACTACTATCCTATACCTATTCATCAGCTTAACTTTTTTATAATGTATACAGTGTAACTTTTTGTTATCAACCTTTCGATTTCATTCTCAACAATATTTCTTCTACTCTTTGAGAAAATAATGTAACTACTCAAATAGTATAAATTTAGGCAAAGGACATAAAATATCATCTCCTATGAAATTAGTTACGCCATTCTAAATTGATGCAAGTGTCTAATAAAAGTGAAATGGCGTGGGCGTTGAACATCTGTCTAAAATCAATTGGATTGACTTTTTTGGATTCATATACACGATGGTCATGAGATCAAGGACATAAATAAATAGCAAAATCTATATTATGGCCCACTAACTCAGTACACCAAAATCAATTTCACGTACTACAAACAATGTGCTGTGCTCTGTATTTGTATACGCAGTACACCCTTTGTTTTTATTTAATCGATTTTGCTAACGAGTGTCCCGAAATATTAGATTAGCATTAAATATATTTTCTAAAATAGTACTCCCTCTGTCCCATAATACTTGACACAGTTATCATTTTCGTCCGTTTTAAAATACTTGACACGTTATTATATATGGAATGAGACCACTAATAAAAAAATATTTTCATATACTCTTTTTGGGACCTCAAACCCTAAAACCCAATTAAATTCCACATTTTCTCTCTTCTTACTACCTCCAGCTCTCCATCTTTTGTTTTCTTACAATATAAAATTACAAAAGAGAATCCTTTATATAATAAATAAATGTTTTAAATGGACCCACTTATAGTATTCTTAAACTACTTGTCCATCCCAACGTCCCAAATATTATGGAATGTATGCCAAATTCATGCGTAAATTGGCGTAATTAATATTTAAATTCATTTAATATTTTCATTTTTTGTCATCTTATCTAACGCCCCGGGAGCACTCATTTGCTTTTGCCTTATTTAATTGTCCATTTTTAATCGCTAATTCGCTATACTTTTTTTTGTTTTTTTAAGTATACATCCCATACTCTTAGGCACATAGTTTTAGTTAAAAAAATAAAATAATAATTCCTTCGTTTCAATTCCAATAAGGATGAAATTATGCATCCTAAAGCACAGTTTATATGTTAAATTTTTATAATTGTATAAAAGTAAAAATTATAAAAATTTGATATTGTGAAAGTATTTTATGAGACGAATCTAATAAGATCCACATGAATATATTTTTTTTAACATATAAATCATATTATATGGTCAAATAAGAGCGATGAATAGTGCAAAAATCCAGTTGTTGCAATAATATTAGAACGGAGGAAGTATATAATTGGGTATGGCTAAAAATAATTTTTTTTTGGAAAAGTAAGAGAGAGAAATATGAATAGAGACCACTAGGAATAACGTAAGAGGGTGAAAATATTATAAAATGATAGTAGAGTTAGAAGGAAGAGAAAGAATAATAATATATAATGTGAGTGGAGTTTTTACTTTTGATAATAAAGCACTTAAAGAAAAAGGCCTTTTTTTTTAGAAATAGAACACATACAAAAAACAGAGAAAATATTTGTCAATTTATAATTTTAACTACGGAGTAATGAATTTGTTACTCCGTACAATATTTTTACTTACCTTATAAAAAGTTTAAGAAAACTCTTTGAATAGTGCATGGACATTTATATCCCTAAAAATGTTCTTTTACATTTTTGCCCCCATTTGATTTCTAAAGCATTATAATTATCTCCTGAATTCCCTAAATTAATTTTTGATTTAAAAAGTTATGTTTATTTCAATATTTACATGATTACATCCATCTTTTATACTCTATTTCTTTATTTTTATTTTTCTATTTAGAACTTATTTTTATTTTTATTTTTCTATTTAAAACTTATTAGACATTTATATTTCTACATTGAATTTAATATCTCCTTATCTTCTACTCACTAAATCAAAGTAGTTCAGCTAAAGTTTAGAATATCGCACAACTATACAACATCAAACACATTTATCGTCTATATATATAAATAGATTTAATAAAATATTACACAAACAAACATAAGATATAAAGAACATCGGTTATAATTCTTCTCAAAGAACTATATGTGCGCGCGTTGGAATCCCTAGTTACCATAAAACATTAAAACAGATTTGGGCCTCAATAGAGGCTATATGCAGTAGCGGCGCAGCAGTGTCAGAAACTCCTGAGGCTTTCCCCAAACCTTTGATAAAGGGAGGTAAAAATAAATGATGGAAGTAATGACGAATAAGCTTAAGTCATCTCAATTCAGCTTTAACGCAAAAGTTTTCTCTGACACCTATGTTATTTTTTCACGTTCAATGTGTTTTTAAAAGTACGACTACTACATTATGAGTAATAATATACGAGTACCAAGTTGATATTATTAGGGACTTGTTAAACATCGCCCGCGTTTTTCTACATAAAGCCCACATTTTTTAAAAATTTTGACATTATTGCCCTTGTTTTAATTTTTACCGAAAATGAAAATTTTCACTCACCAAAAATGAGGAGCAGGACTGGATCGCCGAGTGAAACCGAAGAGCCCTCAACGTCGGCTAGATGCACCGGAGAGACGCCGTTGACGCCGGAAAAGGAGGTACGAAGCCATCTAAAACCACGAATTGGCGGCTGGCGTCCTGTCGGGACGCCGTGACCGTAGTGGTGGCGCCTAGCCAGGACGCTGCCTCCGTAGGTATGGCGCCTGGCCAGGACGCCGCCACCGTGGCCGTGGCGTCTGGCCAAGACGCCGCCACCATGAAAGCGGCGTCCTGGCCAGGCGCCATCGCCACGGTGGCGGCGTCCTGGCTAGACGCCACCGCCACGGTAGCGGCGTCCTGGCTAGGCGCCACTGCATTTTTTTTTTTTTTTTTTTTAATTTAATTTAAAATTTGTTTTTTTTTTTTTTTTTTTTTTTTTGTGTTACAATTTTTTTTCGTTTTTTTTTGGTTTTTTTTTGTTTTGTTTTTAATTGTTTTAAAATGTAATGTAAAATTTTGTGTTTGATTTTTGTGTTTTTGATCGCTATGTTTTTTATGTTTATGTTTTTTTTTTGTTTTTTTTTTTTTTGGTTTTTTTTTTTTATTTAATCTAAAGTTTTGTTTATGTTTTTTATTTTTGTGTTTTGTTTTTTTTTTTTTTTTGAATACTTTTTGTTTATGTTTTTTATTTCTTTGTTTGTTGTTTATATTTTATTATTGTTTTTGCTTTTGTGCTAATGTTGTGTCAAATGTATTAATTTAATCTAATCTTATGTGATTATATTTATATGTTATTGTTGCAGGATTATGGTGGAGACGGAAATGATTATAGTGGGATTTTTGTACACGATGGTCTGTTCGAAGATGCTCAACAAGCGGTTGATTGGGCGAAACATGTTGCAATTAGATCAGGTTTTTGTTTAGTAGTAGCAACTCATAAATCTCAACGGGATGGTAGAATGGATCGCATTTTGAGATGCGACCGTTATCGCAAAAGGGAGGAACGAGATTTCAGTCAAGCGATTCGGTTTGATACAAAGCGGAAAGGTTGTGGGTGTCAGTTCAGAGTAAAGGTTCGACAACAGCAAAGGGGTGACGGTTGGGAAGTGAAGAGTTACGGTAAATGGGGGTATCACGGAGGCAGAGTACGACCGAGCCTTGGATAACTTCAAGGATGCATACCAATGGTGCCCGGCAATCGTAGACTATGTGATGCAGCAGTGGGTGTGGTCGAAACGCCGGGAAATACTCGTATATCCACGTCTGTAACAACGTCATACATCCAGTGATACCTGCCGCATCAGCCCGGCTCGAGAATCCTAACTGGCGATACATGTACGCTAATGTAGCCGACCCCCAAGAAAACTGGCCTACTCTGTCGGGCTCACACGCGTCAACTATGTCGCGTGGCCTGAGCTTGTTTCCGCTCTTATCCGGAAACAAGGTACACCCGAGAAGAAGAAAAACATATGCAGCCAGCTGTGTGTCCTGCGTCCTACGTGAAGTGGGGTGCAAACATCGCTGCAAAACTGCTGCGATCTTAACACCGCCGTGATCCCACACACCAAGTGCCGCTGTGTACAGCGCAGCCCTATCCACCGCCAACAGCTCCGCCAATAAATCTGCCTGATCCGCATCTGTGACAACAGATGCTCGGTTTCCCTCTACGGGAATCCCAAGGATGGCCTCGACGTCATGCAACATGATCGTCATCTCACCGAACGGAAGGTGGAAAGAGTTCGTGTCCGGCTGCCATCGCTCAACGAAAGCCGTGATCAGCGTCGAGTCAATCCTCTCATGCATGGTGGCAGGAAGGTGGCTCACTCTAGTGCCCCTCAATCGGCCGACCATCTCGCTCTCCTCCGGCCAAGCCTCAGCCCAACTACACAAGAAGTTACAAGTCCTCTCCCGGGTTTGGCATTTCAAAATGCCGCTATCCAAAGCCCGCTCTTGGTCCTCCCAAATACGGGTAGCGATGTGTCCTAGAAAGCTAGGAATCACACTCCCGTCTATAGGTCCCCCAGCCACCTCGCCCCTCACCACCCAAGAATCATTAACGGCCCTCGACCGTTTTCTGCTAACCGCAGACACAGTGGACGCAGATGATGTGCCAGATCTACTAACAAATCTACCATCTCTACCCTTACGCACGTCTACCCTACGCGTCTCATACACATCATCAAGCCTCTGA